AATCCTAAAGAAATGGTAATAATTTTGTAATTTGTGTGCTTGTTTTTTAAAGATTGTGTGACGAACTTCAAGAATTTGACTGTATCACTTGCAAATAAACACCAGTTTGCAGTAGCGTATCACTGGGAATGCTTGACTTTAAAAGCAGTTGAGTCTGGTCCAGTCAAAATATGTTTACTTGAAACACTGAATTTTACAGAAGATTTAACGGCATATCTTCATGTTGATACACAAGTCACTGTCAGCCTCACAAATTGGGTAAAATGTAATGGAGCTGAGTATCGGGACTGTTTGTTTGCACAGGCATTGATGAAGACATGTTAGTTTTCAGCAAAATAACTTCAGTAATCTTGCACAATGGTAAAGTTGTTTTTGTTTTGATTGAGCATGAAACTTATTTTCATGACCATTTTCATGCTTTTCTGGTGAGTGAAGTCAGACCCCGAAAGATGCTGGTTACAGAAAGAGAGAGATTAAGACATTTGAAATGTTTTGATGCCCAAATGTTATATGGGTGTGATTCACAGTTTTATGTTGTGTCAAAGTGTTGTATTATCTGAAGTATTGTTGAGTAAGCATTGTAAATGTTTTTGCTCATTGTTATTTGCCCATGCAGTTCCATAACATAACATGCCATAACATTTTGAATGGGAATGTTTTGCTGCTGTGACACTGTTTAAAGACGGTACTTCATTTTGAAAAGGTATTCAATCAGTATGGATTTGTTAAAAAAAAGTGTAGAAAAGTATATGGTGCTCAGTGTATTTATTTTTATATAAATTAACGTCTTAAATACTGTAATATGCCTAAAAAGGCTTACATACTGTATATTTGAAGTGTTGGCTTTTAAAACTGGTAAATAAATAGTTATTATTACAATTAACTAAGTTTTAGAGTTACAATTTACTCTGTGTAGGATTAGTATTTTAACATCAGGAAGAGTTCAACTTTAACTCTGAAAAGGAAGTAAAAGATCAACTCCAAAAACAGAGTTATTCTAACTCAGTATTGAAGTATATTTGATGGTCACACATGTACACTTAGATTGAGTTGATTTTGACTCATCAGGAGTTTATTCCAAAGACCTGAATTTGCTGTGTAGTAATGCTTGTGTTTTTACTTTGTTATATGTGTGTGTGTGTAACTCAATATGCAGAGCATTTGTATGTGTTGAATCTATTTTTAAGATTATGTCTTGTCCCATTCAGGGGGACAAGCTAAATTTCACTGTACATCTGTGTAATGACAATAAAAGACATTCTATTCTATTCTAGCCTCACCATGTAACAATTCACTCAACCTGTATTTGAGTGAAGATTGACAGTAGTCTTTTTAAAATCCACTCCTTCCACGCCAAAAAAGTGAAGTAAAAGAAAATAAATACCCCTCCCCTACACACACATATAAGAGAATAAGCTTCCTGACAGGGGTGTGTCACTATATTTAAAGGAACTTCACAGAATCTGTGTTATAATAAGGAATCTATCGCAATACGTTAACATCACAATATCCCAAAATACAATTTGTCCTTTATTTTACATAATAAAAATGTTGATTTTCTGTATTGTTCACTGGTTATTGTTTTCACAACTGCCTAAACAAAAGATGTGATATTTATAGCTGAATGTTCACGTTAAGTATCTTAGTCGAGGGTGCTACAGCCAAGCTGCCCCAGCTGCACGCTGACAAACACGTCCGGCTCCTTAATGTCTATCGCCCCCAGCTTCCCCTACATTATATTTTTGTGAAGAATTGCCTGTCTGTCGTATTGCGATTTTCCAGCCATTGGCTGCTCGTGACACTTTCAGGCTTTCCTCTGCTACTTTCACTGATGTGCTGCGCTTCATTATGTAGGAAAAAACAGGTGCTGAGTCACCGGTATGATCTGTACACGAGCCCTTTCTCACTGGAAGCGAGCTTCAGCCTGCTAATATACTGACGAGTAGCAGAGAGCCTGCAAACACACGCCATATATTACACGGCAGTAGGTCCTTAGCCTGTGTGATTCCTCATTTATAATTTACTTTATAATTACGTAGTGTAGTACGTGTGTTATAATTCATCTTTGATTTGCATTTGTAAATCAGATGCAGTAATACTCCTAAGCAAGAGAAAAATTCAGGTGTTCAACAGAAGTGTTATTAAAGATTTATGAAAAGGGCCACTAAACTTTTACTAGGAGGGTCTGATTTTAAAGTGAATGAGAACACACTAAATTAGTTAGCGTACATTTATTTGTAGGGGGGGTAATGAGCAATTCAGTTCATTTACGATAAACTTGAAGGTATAACTACTATGTACAATCTGTAAGAAACATTAAAGCTACTATTTTTGGAAGCTGAGACTGTCTACCAAAGAACCACAGCCGTAATAAGCATTAAGAACATTTTTGCCTTGTCAAAATACATAACCTTTCCATCCATCCATCCATTTTCCGAACCGCTAACCTACTCGGTCGCGGGGGGTCCGGACCCTATCCCGGAAGCTACGGCCACGAGGCGGGGAACAACCCATGACGGGGCCAGCCCATCGTAGGTCACACACACATGCGCACCTGGGCAGTTTAGTAACTCCAATTAGTCTCCGCATGTCTTTGGACTGTGGGGGGAAACGCCACGACGACATGGGGAGAACAGGCAAACTTTCATAACCTTTCCGCTTGAATATTTAATTATTAGTTTCGAGCAATGCTAGATATTTTGTGTACTGACGGCATGACATCTTTCTGTTGATTGCGCAACAGACAGGTGTATGGGAAGGCTTTAGGACCCAGAATGCTCCGAAAGTGCGTCTCCTCCTCCCTCCAGCATCCAGTGTTTACAATCATGCGTGTCTTCCGCCCTTGTTTAGCCCTCTTTATTTCGTTTTGTTTGTGTGCAAAGGGGCAGCAAGCCGAATCCAAAACGAACGAAAGGCCGTTTATGGTTCTCCAGAATCAAAACTTGGGTAAGGATTTTACGAGCCAAAGAATTTCATTAATTACACGCCGAAATGTAGCAAATCGTCATTGCTGCGACCCGTGTCGTTTAACGTTATTGGCGTTCATTGACTGAGCGTTTTAAAGCGACTCAGATCGTTTTCATTTATTTGATCAGAAACAAGGTTTTTTTCTTTTGAAATGTGACAACTAGCGCCTACATAAATTTAGACAGTCATTCTTAAGGGTAATGAAATTTGTGTGTATATATATATATATATATATATATATATATATATATATATATATATATATGTTTTCCGTTTAAAATATCGCAATCTGTATTCTTCGTATAATTTACGTAAAATAAACACGTGTTCCCATTGTGTCGCAGTGCTGCTCGTGAGTGTCCTGTCGGTGATCGTACTGGTGATGGTTATCATGGCAGTCTGCGTGTACAAACCACTACGCCGCCGTTAAGCTGCTGGGCCACAGAAGAAGAAGAAGAAATACCATCATCTCATCCTGACCCAAGATGGCCTATCAGTACCCCCGCACCGCCGATACTTCGTCATCACGCCTTTTGAACTGGGATACTTTAGATTAAAATGTCCTGGCCACTGAGGACACGACCAGGCAGGCAAACTGTATTCATATCTTCTACAAGCATTCCTTGAATGTCTTAATGGTTGTGAAAGTTATTTTATTATTTTTTACACTGGAAGCGCTTTACATATTTATTTGTATAATATTGACTGGGAAAGGGAAAATAAAAGGGAGCAAATTGCAAGTTCCAAGGTAATACAGATGAGGCATATTCGTGTAGGGTGACGCTGCATGTTGCTCTGATTGCACTGCTTCGCAGGGAGGAAACTGGGGTTTACAAATGGACCTAGTCAGATGTTGCCTTTTTTGCCTTTTATTTGCACGTCGGTGATCTGCTGTTTTGAAAAATAAATCTAATTTTATGTTAGCTATCTACGAAATGTTTCAAAACACCAGCCTCCAATTAAAAATGTAGGCTAGTAGTCAGTCATACCCGACTTTCTACTTCATTTTTTAGTTGAAGCTGTTTAGTAGTTGAGCTGTTTAGTGGTTTGTTGCTCCTGTTTTACAGAACACTTAGCTTGCAGGATGTGATCAAAATTATTTTTGTATTTTTACATTATTTATGAAAAATCGACCTAACTTGTTTGCAGTTATTTATGGCAGAGTTGTGATAATATATTAAGGGTTTTATTATTTTGGGTCCATTGTAGGCCTATATATCGTTAAATAAACTCTTTCCATACATGCATTTTTTACCACTTTCTCCCGTCTTGTTGTTCCTTTATATATAAATGACCGAATACGAGCTGAATCGTTGCATTAAGGCAGGTATGAACTCACGACTGGCGATTCTTGGCGCATTTGAGCGAATTGAATTTGAAGTTAATGTAAATACTTCTGCGAGGAGCAAATAGCCAGCTCATACACCATTACGCCACATCCAGACTGTTCGCGGGTTTCAGGCGGTCATCGCCTTAATGCATTTTATTGTATTATGTTACATTTTACCTCGGTGTTGAGTTATACATTTTGCCCATCTATTAAGGAGTGCGGTATTCATCTGGCACACTTCTATCATGCTATATATCGTAGTCTCTCTCTGTATGTAGGCCTATGTGTATATATATGTCTAGGTGTTTTATGTTCGTAAACAACGGCCGGGTTGTTGTAGGATAGTGGTCAGCAGGCCTGCTCCTGGAGATGTATCACCCTACAGATTTTAG